ACGTAGGCCCCATAGAGTATTTGGAAGTCCATGCGAGTAATACTGGAGAAGGTTCGTCGGATCATCCGTAAAATGGTGAATGCCTTTTGGGCCGATTTCTCATGGTTCAGTGAGAGGGACATGTTTGAGGAGACCCAGATGCGCAAATCCTTCTTGGCATCTATCCTCATGATGTTTTCTGGTCCCTTTTCATCACGCATAACAAAGGCATTCGCTGAATCCCCTCCAAACGACATATGGGCGCGCTTTTTGTCATTCAGAGGAAGGTCCCAGTCCAACGACTACTGCTTGGCAGCGTCTACATCCATTTGGAGGGCACTGGCATTGGAACTCCAGGATTTCAAGTCGTATGCAAAAGGTAGACATGGACTTACAAGAACATATGGGAGGTCGTTGACGTGGATCAGAAACAGCACTGGCCGCAGAACGGAGCCTTGAGGAACTCCAATGGAGACCGGCGCTGGAGAAGAGTAGGCCGAACCTACTCTCACTCAGAATGATCTGTCTGATAGGAACGCCTTGATCCAGCGAAGGATTTTCCCTTGAATCCCGTAAGACTCGAGTTTGTGGAGCAGCGGAACGTGTGGGACCCTGTCAGATGCTTTTTAAAAGTCCTAAAATATGGCATTCGAAATGAGCCCTTCGTCCTTGGCTTGGGTTAAGCTGTCCATATACACGAGCATGTTTGCCACGAAAGGACAGTTTGGGAGAAATCCGTGTTGAGCTGGAGATATCAGGTTGCTGGACGTAAGGTGATCTAGGATAGCTCGCTTCAGAATGCGTTCCATCATCTTGCACGCCAGGCTAGTGAGGCATATAGGCCTGTAGCTCCCAGGCGATATTCGGTCAATAGTTTTGTAGATTGGCGTGACAATCGCTTCCTTCCAAGCAGAGGGAAGGCGGCCTTCGTCAAGCGACTGACGAAACACCAGGTGTAAGTGATTTGCCAGCGCGAGCGACATTTCCTTCAGGATCCTTGGATGGACATCGTTGGGCCCCAACCTGCAGAATGTGTTGAATTTGCGCAGGGGTAGACGAATTTCCTCCACCGTGAAGACCAAGTCGGCTAGAGGCTGCTAGTAGTTACGCCTTGACAAGAGTGAATGTGACAAGGACCCTGGCGCTGAGTATAGACACGCATAGTGCTCTCATTAAACCTCAGATACCACTGTTGGGTCACTCGTTGGCTATCCGTTCCTGTCCCTCAAGGAGAACTCGGATGGCTTGTTTCTGCGGCGGTCTCATGTATTTGAACAATACATTTTTGTTTTTTCGAGTGAGGTCCAGGATGGTGGCTTGTTTTCGTATGTTCCATCGGCGGATTTCTGGTCTACAGCGGTTCCGCACTTTACGAAGTGCCAGCTCATCTTCTGTATCCCCCGTAGTCATCGCGTCCCCTCGTGAACTTTCTGGACATTGGTCCAATACCGTTCTTCCACAGGAGCTGTTCCCATTGTGACTTGTTCAAGTAAGATGCGCATTTCTGGGAAGTCTGCACGGCAGAATTCTCGAAACCATATTTGATTTCCGGGATTTCGTGCCCAGTAGCAGATGACATCAAAGGTTCGCACACAGTGGTTGCTATGTCCCAGCGGAGCGTTAACTGTTACTTGATCAACGAAGTGTCTTTCAATGGTGATGACCAAATCCAGGAGGGGTGGTAGTTAGCCTGCGCGGTATCTGGTGGGTGCAACGACATATTGAGTCCATCATTCTGTTGAAGGACTTCAGTCAGCGCCGCTGGAAAAGTTCGCTTGTTTCGACGCGCTAGAGCTCCATCCAGGAGGCCTTTGGAGCGTTGAAGTCACCTACCAGCAGGAGATGAATCAAAAGGTAGTTGAAGGAGAGTTGCTCAAGGGTTCGTACGAGGAATTGGTTATCTTCTGGGGGACTTGGGGGGCTACGGTAGACCACAGCGGGAAGGAAAGAATCAGATCCGCGCAGCGGGAGTGCATCGCAAAATGGTGCAGGAGTGGTATCAGAGGGGACAAGCGGGATTGGTAGAGCCGCATATAAGTACAGAGCGATCCCACCAGCCCTCCCTCGTTTTGAGTCAGCTCGAAAAATATAATAACCGTCTATCGAGATCTCGGCGTCAGTGGCACCTGGTGTGAGCCAGGTCTCTGTGAGTGCGAGTATGGACGGTTTTTCAAGGTAAGCTGACTGTTTAACATCGCCGAATTCGTTGAAAGGGCTGAGGCAGTGTGTGTACAATCATTTCGACACTGTCTCAGAGGCCTCCGAGGGTGAGGAGCCGAAAGTTGGGTTACCAGGGAGGTCGGCACACATAATACTTGTGCGCCGGGCTTGAGTCCATCGCTATTCGCATTGGTCATATTAATGTCAAAGCTCTCTGACTGACCAGATGCTACCCCCACATCATCTAAGCTGATTATAGTTTACGAGGGTGAAGCTACTTCTATTCTATTCTCTCCTCCTACATCCGGAACACTACCGCGTCTACTCACCGTCTGCCTCCAATTGGATTGCTTTCATCTAGCTGGGAATCTATAGCAGTCGCCCAACCCGGCTTCGAATGGTCGCCGCGAAGCAGGTGTAATCTGCGAGGTTCCCACTTCGGCCAGCGGCACGCGATTCAAGAAGCAGACTTCACCATGAGTGCCCTTTCAGTCAGAGAGAAAGTAGTTATCCCGCCCATCACAATGGAATGATTACGCTGTCCTGTAATCGTAGTGGACTTGGAACTGAGCTTATGCTGAGATTCCTGAGTTGCTCAGCCTTACCACACACTGAATGAACTCTGAGGCATATGTGGACAAATTTGCCCAATAACGTGTTTGATTATTTACTGGGCTTGCAAAATAGGAAACAAACCAAACTACCTAGAGTTTGAAGCGATTATCTATTATCCGGCCAGAGAAGCAGTTTATCTCAACGGCCACTGGAGCAGATACTGAACTCAAGTTTCTCATCATCTAATCGACGTAAGCTGGCAAAGAAGCGTGATCATAGTAGCTTCTGAGACGGACCAAATCTACACAACGGTGATATTCATAGGCTATCAAATGCAGTGGGAGGCACTGTTATATCTGCTGATTCGTTAATCTGTGGTATCTGCTGCTGACCCGCCCCAGTGCCTAGTGTCGGAGAGAAAAGACTCACAGAAGGGAAGACAACGGCTGTGTTCCGAACAAGCGAGTGAGTAAGAGAGCAAAAGTTACAACGGCCCCATGCTATTTAAAGGGGACCTTCTGACATTGATCCAAGCTTTCTGATAGGCGTTAGTGAACACCCATCAACATCGATCGTGCCTCTGTGAAATGCCTGAACGCTGATCACATTCGGCCCTGCTTCTGTAGCCGCAAGAATACTCATCAGGTTTTGCTGAATTGATTGAATGATTGACCGGCCTGTATGCTTGCCGGCTTTCCAGTTGAGTTTTTGGTGTAGCAGTAGGTTCGGGGCGTTCTGAATTTGCTTTCATGAATCTGACCTTCCTGATAGGTACACATCAAACAAGCCGTGGGCTAGACGCACGCCGAAAATTTCTCTGAGGCCGTGGTTCGAAGGAGGAAAACATTAACATAGAGTTTTAACATTTGATGGTAATTTTTCGGGCGTATGAGATCTTCCCAAACGGCCGCAGGTTGGTTGAAAGTTGTTTAAATCTACCCAATCCACACGATATTCAAGACCCGGGATATTCATATTTTAAATGGCTGATATGGCTGAGCACGTCAATGCGGAAGATGATTTCGTGGAGAATTTAGCTCGTCAAAGTTTTCTCTCGTTCAATGCTTTTCACATTGCCTTGAAAGAGTACCAGACGAAACATTTCGTTGTTTTCGTCCATATAGACTCCAAAAGGAGCAGCAATTCGCTACTTTTGTATGAAAAAGCCTCCTACCGTTGCAGCAGACATCCCCGCAAACGAAGCAGAAGCCGTGGAATTCGTCTCACCTAGTAAGTTATTGGTTGACTGTGTATACGTTGTAGCACACGTCGTACTGGTTGTCCGGCAAGGTTCCACGTTCGCCGGTACCATGACTGCTTGGGGGTTACTTCTTACTACCTGGAGCACAACCATCCACGCAGCAAGTTTATTTTTGATAGGCTCCCCATCGACCGGCGACTGACAACTGATGAATTAAAGGAGTGTTCTACCCTTTTAAAATATGGTGCTCCGTCATCGGATATTCGGCAGTACGTCGCCGACCACTTTGGAAAGGTACTCACTATCAAGGATGTGCGTAACTATCGCGTCAAGTGTCGACCCCCCATTGTTAAGTAGGTCGTTGGTTACCTTTTCGTTGGTTTCTTAGATGACATGTCGTCCATCATAGCCAAGTTTCAAGAGTGCGGTCGCGTGCTGCTGGTGGAATCGGAGGGTGGCAGATATAGTCACTTGTGTTTTTCTCGAACGCAGCAGATAGCACTCTTTAGACGTTTCCCGGACGTTGTAAACGTTGATGCTACACACGGTACTAACCGTCTTGGGTAAATAAATTTCGAGCCACTGACGTTCGCTGTTAAGTTACAAGCTTTATACATTCCTTGTGACAGATGGCATGGGGATCGGTCGACCCGTAATGTATGCCTTTGTCGAAAGCGAGCATTTTGCGCCATTGCGCAAGCTGTTCAGCTTGTTCAAGGATATGATGGGTGGACAATATGCAGTCAAAACGTTCGTCATGGACAAAATGACTTCACAGATGCGGGCTGCCAAAGCTGTATTTGGCTGCGATGTAATGCTGTGCTGTATTTACGCACGGAAAGCCATCCAGAAGCACATATGTTCCATAGCTTTGGTGTAAACTTTGCAGAAAATTTCCAACCACAGTCGACACTTATTCCACCGCATGGCCCGCTCTGATAATGCAGCTGAGGAACTGACTGCGCACAAAACACTAATCCCGTAGATTTCGCCACGATTTGCAAATCTTGAGGCGAACAGATCCCTGTTTTGTCTCTTATTTGACTGCCCACTGGCTCCACATCACCCGAAAGTGGGCCATTCATGCACAACGTGGGTTGGTACATTTTGGGAATGTGACCAACAACCGCCTGGAGAACGCCAACGGGCGTTTGAAGAGGTGCGTGCATCACTCAGCCTGGAGCATGCCGTTCTGAAGGTCGCTCATCACAGCGAATGGCTAATTTTTGGAATATGAAATGCACACCACTTATTGTTGTGACCGTCGAGAAATTCGGGAGGGAGACATCTACGTTCTACGTGTGGTTTCCCGGATGACGACATACGCCGCTAATCAGGTTCTCAGGCACATTGGAATATGCACGCCAAATCTGCTATACAAGCAGACAGATCGCTTCAAGGTGAGAAGCCCGTTGTTAGTAACAGTCAGTTTGTGGTACAAACCCCCAAATGTTCTCAGACAGTAAACACCTCGGCCGGAACCTGCACGTGCATATTTTACCAATCAATGTGGCTGCCTTGTGTACACCTATTTTCAGTATTCAGAGGCCACTCGTTCCCATGCGGTAAGTTGATTGATCGAACATGCAGTGTCTAGGTCAATTTCCAATCCATCAAAGGTGGCTTGCTGAATATAACTTACCGGAGGAAGGAGTACCTTTATCTCTGGTTCCAAAGCCAGATCCATCACCAATAGAGCATTTGCACAAGCAGCTTGATCGGTTGGTTGGCAAACTGAAGCTGCTGGATCCGCGTAAGGCTGCTGGGTGCATGAAGCGTCTGATTGTCCAAAGCCAGCTGATGTTGCGTCAAAATGCAATTAGTGCACAGGACAACCAGCCTCTGGTGTTAGATGGCAACCGCAAACAACCACGGTGGCGTTCGACGTCAAACGACGCTGTTCCCTGTGGTCTCTGTGGCCAGCCAACTGACCCTGCTGATTGGTGGTGTCAACGTGATCGACTTCCATATCACCGTTATTGCTGCGGCAATGAGCCCTGCCCGCTGTGTGGAGAAAATCTTCAGGCGCGTCCACCAAGTGAGTGCACATGTATAAATTAAGCTATTCCCATTAGTTGCCGGTCAGTCTACCTACCGTTCAGCTAAAAGAGCTTGCTTTGATGTTGATCTTGATCGGTCCATGGAGGACAAGCCGAGTGTGCCCCGTAAGACAGTCGCAATCAAACTGTTTTGTCCAATTTCGGAGTTGATGGAGACCGGTAATTTGAGGCCTAATTTTTTAGCATACGCTTTGCAGACCTCGCTTTCGAATCCCGTGATGACGAGGAATTCGTGTGATTGTAACTCGAAGGCCCCAAATGCCGATTCAATGAACCCATGGCAATCCGCAACGACTATACATTTATCCCTCATCACGGTAATGGGAATTATGAACCACTAGGTAAGCAAACAAATAAAATTCCATTACATCCAGATGCTTAAGTGCTGTTCCAGAAGGTTAATTGCTTGCCCATTTTCCGTTTCAGAATCCTTGTCCCGTGAAGTGGATCTTAAGAACATGAAAAATGGAGCGACTACCAATTAAGCTTGTATCAGTGATGCCAATGAATAAAATGCAATTCGCCAATGGTGTTTTCGTAAATTCATGGCGGGCGCATCATCAACGCGTGGAGTTATGAGTATGGAGCGCCGTCGTTGGCGATTGTATTACGTTGCCGTGCATAGGTGAGGCCCCATTATCTGCGTCGCGAATAGCAGTTACGCTAAGTAGCCGAGGTGAACGACAGCTCATTGTTTCGGGTAATGGAGGGAGTGGTTGAGGGGGTACAATCAAGAGTAGGATTTGGGAGCGCGCTATCAAAATGGGTGGTGATTGCATTTTGACAGGCGATGACCACCGTTGATCGTTGGGTTAGTCTATTATGTGTTGTCGGGGCATTATGGTTAGCTACGAGCATGTGTGCGGGCCTGGCAGTTACTATAGGTAGTCACGTAGGTTACGTCAAATACAGTTGCGATGTTTACTGAAGGTAGCAAACATAAACGGCATCGAGTAAGTATGAGTATGACGATGAATAGCCAAGTTAGGTGACTTCGAGTACAGTTGTGAGTATAACAGGCTGTCAGATTATGCTATCACTCATAGTTGAGTCCCTGTTTATACTGGTCGGCATATATATTGGAGTGATGTTTACAGTAGGTAGCGAAGATAAGCGGCATCGCGTATAGTATGAAAGACCCTCAGCTTTATACTAAGCGTTGCACATAGACTCAGTTGCTGCAATTACGATAAGCAGCCAGGGTAGGCGATATCAAGTGCGGTTACGAGTATGACGGGCAGCCGTTGGTCGTTAAGACGTCACGCATAGCCCAGGCCTACTAAACAGCGTCGCATATAGGCACTGGCCTACCAGTTTCAATAAGTAGTCAAGGTAGACGATATCGCGTACAGTTTTGAGTATTTGGTTAATCGGTCGCCATTAGATTAGGTATGTATGTACAAGGACACTGACTCAACAGGTACGATCAATAGCCAAGTTAGATGACCTCGAGTACAGTTGTGTGTATAACAGGCTGTCAGATGTGGCTATCATGCATAGCTGAGGCCTTATTTTTACCGGTCGGCATATAAATTGTACTGATGTTTACTGTAGCTAGCGAAGACAAGCGGGATCGCGTATAGTTAACGGTATACAAGACCGTCATTGACCATCGGATTATGCTACTCTGCATAGGTGCAGTCTCATTATCAACGTTGCACATAAACGCGAGCCTAGCAGTTACAACAAGTATTCGAGATGAGTGAAAACTAGTAGAGATACGAGTACAAGGGGCCGTCGTTGCTCATTGGATTGGGCTGCCGCGCATATGTGGGGAACCCTAATTAGCGTCGCACATAGAAACGAATTCAGCAGCTACAATAGGTAGTCGAGGAGGCTACCGTCATCGTGGTGACCGCTTCATGATTGGTGGTCACCATCTATAGAACGTCATAGTTATAATGGGAAAGACACCCACAGCCTTCTGGCAGCACTGTATTATCTACAAGTTAGTTATGCATATCTGGGAAAGAGGTTCACCCACAGGTGTCCCTCGCCCTGCCACTGCAAGTTTGTGCTGTTATCTAACTTTATTGCACTTATGGAACACGAGATCCATGGGGAAAATGTCTTGTGAGCAGGTTCACCAAACAAAAATATCCCATTGGTTAAATCTGACGTGTCTAAAGCAAACAAACGCCTGCGACTGAACCTATAGGGCAGCATTTGTATGAAATACTCTTAAGATGTTATTTTTATTCTTCAGGAACACCGCGGAACGACAAAATATGCTAAAGTGCGATTTCCTGTTTTATGTCGCATAAACCGGCAAAAAATCCAAATCGGCGATGGTCAATGACCTTGACATTTCGCTCACTGAAACAAAGTGCTACGTCCAACATGTCACGGGAAGGTGCAAATTGATTAGACTAACTTCACATAAAAATGGCAACTTCGAAAACCCTACAGTTTCGGCGAACTCAATTTCGGCGTGTCAATAGCCTGCGGCATCAAACAACGTGTATAGTAGTCCTGAGCGAATTTTTCGAGGAGATAAAGGCGCTTAAATACTTGTTTTTAAGTACCCGAGTTTCATTCACAACACATTTTTGTCTTGCTCACCTTAGCTGCTGTATGCCTAGCCTTCCTTCGCCAACCGGCGCTTCCTCGGCTGGATTAGCACCATACCCAGTATGACTGGGTAATTTCATTGGCCTGACTAGACCCATTGAAGTGCACTCAGGAGTTTGCAGGTAGTGTGCTGTCCTTGAACGAAGCCTCTTTGCTGAACACCTAATCGTTACGCACGAGAAACTGAGTATCTAATGCGGGCAGCTGATGCCTACAGTCAAACGTTCCATTCACATGGTTCTAGGCAAAACCTCGAAGCTATGCAAGATTCTCTCATAAGCAACCGTTCCGAGCACTGTTTACCGAAGGCCTCAGAGACTTTGCCCCCCTCGTGTGACTACCTATCCTTCCGTTTAACCGTATTCGTTCCGGATAACTGTCACCTGTTTTATCGTGTCGCTTCTCTTGAAACACTTCACTGCATTACACAACGCTTGTAACCCACCTTTCCAGTGGCTTCTTTCGCGGCATTGAAATACGTTGGTTTTTCACAAAGCTATTTTATAAGTAGATATACCCACTGAGTCCGCCGCCCGCAAAGCTGCGTCCAAACGGTAGATTTCGTGTCCAAGTGTTTTCATCTAACGGTGTATGAAGTTTCCTTCTGCCTTCGCAGAAGCACAACACATTAAAGGTTATCTGTTCTAGTTAGATAATATTAATAATGATAATGTTTATTCACAAATTGTGGGTGGCCGCCGTGAGGCATGTTCATACTTTTATAGTCAAACTAAAGCGTGACTAGGAGGATTTGCAGATACTGGAGAGTGCACAAAAAAGAGGAAAATGTCATGAGCAGTGAACAATATCTGATGAAATATTATTAATGAGAGTTTCATTTCCCAACCTGTAGGGAACATGCCAATTGAATCATGACCGGGTCGTTACAGCCTAAACCTGACAGGCAACAACACAGCGGGGAGGAAGGTACACCCAACGAGGCTTGGTTGTTAAGTCAACAACCATCGAAATTGCGGGAGCCGAAAGAACTAGGACAATGGGCATGAGGTCCCACTTGTTTAAAGATGGAGCCGGCTGGCATCAACTAAAAGTGGAATTCGTTACTGGTTATAAGTGACCTTGGGCGGTTGAGTAAATAGCCCGTGTCACAAAAAGCAAAACGGAAGGTGAAAAATGAAGAACTCGAAGTGGAAGCAAACGGAAAGTTTGCTCTCGAAAATATGTTTTAACCTGAAATCAAGCAGACTTGCTGGTGTCGCTGTTGTAGGGAAGTCAGATGTGAAATATAGATTCGATTGGGAGACAGTACTGGTGCATAATGCCGAACGAACACCTTATATGGAATTGAAATTTTGGTGGAGGAGAACTGAAGGTGCAACTGAAACACAGGCTATGTGAATCCGGGTTAGAATTGAGCCCTCTTAAAGGTGTTCAAAGCCAGATGAAATATTTGCTTGTAGTTGCAATCACAGGCTTCAGTGGGCTAGGGGTTGCGGTCAAGATGGTGAAGGAAATAGTTCCTTGGTGTCATCACACTGGATAGGCACTGCCATGCCATCATTTCAATGACATACTTCAGTTTATAGACAGCTCCGTAACGGTCTTCAAGATGCCTCATTGAGAGAAAGGGTACGCATTTCCGTGGTAGCTGGATCTGGATTAAGTGAGGAGACTGACACAGGTGGAGTCGGGCCGATGCAGGGTCACGGATAATTTCCCTTCACTTGCGGGTCCACGTGACTGTAGACAGAAGACCAGCTAAATCGAATGAAGGACGGTTGTAAGGGGGATGGATAACTATAGCTGAAGTTTGGAAGGTGATGTGTACGGGGACAGTGTTTGAATGGCAGTGAGGGCATCAGGGCTCCATGGACAGTGAATGACATGCTGGGTCGGGTAGTCGCTGGCAACAGTCTAACCATCGTCATCAGAGGATGGTACCATGTATGGCAGTATGCACCAATACACATGACAAAGAATCGTAGGAAGCTGAATCAGCACAGGATTTCACGCCAATCGAGTGCTCCAACGTTCAGCTAATCATAAGGAAATTAGGAGTTTTGTTAACAAGCGTGAGAATTTGGTGACGGTCAAAGTGATAACGGAAGTAGTGCCCGAAGTTTACGCATGGTGCTTTAAAGTTCAAGAGAATCACTGATAAATCAAAACGGAAGGAAACCATTGTAACCCAAAACGTCTGTGGTTACCGACATATAATGCCAGTCAAAAAATTGCCGAAGTTTCATCAAAAAATTGCGCACACTGGATTTCAAAAGTCCCTGTCTGGGTAGGGAACTCAAATTTGAGCAAATAAACGAGGTTAAAGTTGTGGTGGATTATCAGCAGCGACAAGAAGGACACTAGTTTTTACTGCTAGACTTTGCGGTCGCCAGTGTGACCAACTGGGAGGAAATATGTAGAAACAGACGTTTATTGTCCCCATATTTTTAGTGAATCACGACATGAAGCTCACGGATATAATTAGAGATGTAATTAAACACCTATACCAATCCTTAAGACTTTACTGTGAAACAATAATTGCACCGGAAAAATGATGTCATTTTTGTAACAAGATTTCCCGGTTGGGACATGAAAGGGACTAAAGGAAAAATTTGTTACCTTCAGCTATATAATCTTTCAGCTGAACCGCAAGATGGATGTTGTGGTATCCGTGAGAGAACCTGTGCTCTCTCGGCTGCAACTCATATGAGACGAAGTNAAAATGATGTCATTTTTGTAACAAGATTTCCCGGTTGGGACATGAAAGGGACTAAAGGAAAAATTTGTTACCTTCAGCTATATAATCTTTCAGCTGAACCGCAAGATGGTTGTTTTGGTATCCGTGAGAGAACCTGTGCTCTCTCGGCTGCAACTCATATGAGACGAAGTTGTGTGTGTTAGTAAGGATGTACTATTAGCATATTCGAAATCTAACGGATTGCGGTCCTGCCATATAGAGTATTTCATCGATAGGATGAACACCGACTTCTCTCACAATTTTTCTCGCCCCATCCACTAAACGTACATTAAATCGAAAGTGACTGCTGAGCACCGAGCTAATACAATGGCGTTTTGAGTCACCAATTTATAAAGAAATTTTAGCTTATCACCTATAAACTTGTCGAACTTTCTAGCTTTAATCAAGTTTAAAATTGTTTGGACCAACAAAAAATCAGGTAGCTTACTAACTCTGTACAGTTTGCATATCAGATTATTGGCAAAAGTCCTGCATACAAACGCCTACATGACGAACAAAACTCTTTAGCCTGATCATCACCACCTCAACGCCATCATCTGTAATTCTCGGAAATTCGAACAAATACAGCACGATGTTTCGGGCAGAAAAATTGGTGGTTAATTTTTTTCGCCCTGATAATAGTGACAAGCTTACCCATTCACCATCGGGACGGAGGTAGAGATACGAGTTTCGGTGTCTGGTACGTCCATCAGAATTGGTTTATTCCGTGACTAAGTTTGGAGCTCAAGCTGTGCAAGTAATAATAATAATAATATTTATTCCCAACTAGTGGGTAGCATATCGTCGGGCATGATCATAGCATTACAGTCAGAATAAAGGCATGACTGGTGGGGTTTGTGTTTAATGGGAAAAGGGGAAGTGACGTAAACAGTAAACCTTATCACACCTGAGGTGGCATGGGTAGGAATCCAAAATTACAAGACAAGGATGTCCTATGGAGAGCATATCAGATTGCACGAAACTAAAGCAGGAACAACCGTATACCAACAAGTAACTGCCCCCAAAATGACACCCTAAGGTCATAAACCTAAAGCCATAAACAGTGGCCTCACCGACTTAAAAAACAAGTTTACTAGTCGAACCATCCACCGTGCATACGAATAAGCGGCGAATTCAAACGGCTATTCGTTGACTTGACTGAACCAAATCTGAGACAAGTGCTGGGGTTCAAAGTAAAACAGAAGTTCCGAAGTGACAATCTTTTGGAAACGTTCAGACTGCTTCTAAAAGAAGCTCCTTTGTAAAAGATTCATTATTCAAAGTCAGACAAAGAACCTAGTCGCTGAGACCGGCCATATGTCTACTTCATTTAATTGCCGTGCGCTTGTGGACACAGGCCTTGCAGTGTATTCTCTGAAACCTCTAACGGCGCAGCACTTGTGATCGTGTATCCTTAAAATTGTACACAGTTAGTGAAAAATGCGTGATCCCAAAATTATTTACTCGTGTGACAGCTGTCAAACTGGACTCCCGAATGAGACTGCGGAAGCAAGCATGGTTAAAATGCGAGGTCAGGTGAGGGAACGCCAGGATTGATGAGCTGGTGACTAACTACAGATTTTGAAAAGTACCGCCATGTTTGTGCCCAGGTCATGGTTCAAGGAATAGGGATACGGGCTATATCATTACGTCAGGGTGAAGGTTACAATGACGGAGTGAGACATGTTTGTTTTTTAAAAACGCTTCCTTTCTAGCCACCACCTATCCTGTGGTCGGTCACCAAGTAGGGCATATCAGCAATGAACATGAATTGATTCTGATCTTTGCCGAAGTCGAAAGCACTGTGTGTGAGCTAAGCAAGTTGCGGACATATTTAGGTAATCATAAGATGCACATGGTAATGGATATCACATCTGAATGCATCGACTAATCAAACTGCATATACCATGGCAGTGGTTTATTCAGGCGACTTTATTCTGAAAGGAGTCACTAGAAAAATACTGAATGCGGTCAGTCAACCAGGGGCCACCTGCGGAAATGTGTGAGAACTCTGGTTTCTTTGTCCACAAATCTGTCCTCCTTAGCAGTGGTGACGGTCAGAGAACCACTGGGACGGACTGATCATAGCACTGTTGCTGCCTGCTACGGGAAGATGAAATACGCCTAACGAATTCTCGCTTATATACTGTGGGTCTTCAGGATATTAAGTCCGCATGGTCCACATGGACCAAAATTAAAACTACCCAAGACTTTCGGATAAACGTGAAGCGATCTGTTGAAAATCTGGTAAGAATAACCAAAATGAACGTACCGAAAGGAGATATCTTGGACCCCATCGGTTGATCAGAACGAAAACATGCGGGAGCATTGAAAAGCTCAGAACCCGAGACAGCTTTAGATGACATGGCGTGTTTATAAAGGCCTGCAAACCGGTAATGATGTGACAAAAATAGTCCTTCACCCCTGGTTTTGTTCTAAGTCTTATAAACTAACGCAGCTGTCAAACGAACTACAAAAGTTGTTAAACGCTTAAAACTAGTTCAGATTTGAGGCCTGTGATGCGACAGTATTCCGAGAATGCTAAGTTCCTCTGGAGTCGTCAGTGACAAACAGCATTCGGCTGGATTTAATGTTAGGTACACGCTTTCGGCATATCAGAGCTCGCGCGGATACTGGATGAACTCTTTCTAGCTTAAAAGCCATAGAAAAAACGAAAGCTGAACCGACTACACCTCACTGTGCTTACGGAGTTATTGTAACTCATCGCAGGATTCCGCGTACATATGCACGGCTGGTACGTTAACTCAGTTAACTCAGAGAGTTCTTCGACCAGATAAATTACAGTACGTTCCTGTGCACGATCCAGCATACCGTTAATTCATGGGTTACCGTCAAGATGGATCACTTCCAAAAGCAGACGGAAAACGTGTGACCCTGTAGTGGGGTCCCAGAGCCTCGACAAGAGGGGTGTTTTCGAGGTGGACTGTCGATATTGTATGTAGATACGTTGCCGGATTATCCTCGCCTCTGCGGGCTGCCATTCGTGCACGACATAAGGTTATGGAGAGGGATGGATCTCAGTGATGGCTAGCCAGAACTCCGCGGTGGTAGTGACGGGCTTGTTAACTGGCATATAGAATTTAACTTATCCAACAGGGCTGGAGAGAGTTGGGCTGAAGGCATTGGAATTCTGGGTAAGGGCGGATTATCGACCGAAAAACTCAGACCTGAGACGTTATTGACAATAGTAATAAAGTTTATTCTTAACTTGTGGGTGGCATACCGTTAGGCATGACCATTATGTTACAGTCGGAATAAAAGTATGACTGGCAAAGATTGTGGGCACTGGGTTTAGGATAAGGGAGAGCGTCATAGGGGCTGTGCATTATCCTATGCGAGAGTGGTCTTCACCAAACTGGCAAAGGCAGGGAAGCACAGTTGCTATGCGTTTTTACAAAGAATATGGAGAAAGATCGGGCCATTAGGATTAGAAGGTGGCTGGCAAAAAGAAACAAAGAGAGGGGTTGAAAAACAAGGGGCTTCCTGCCTGACGCATGACAAGAAAAGCGTAAACGCTGAAAAAAGGGAGACCAGAAGGTCAGATCTGGTGAAACAGCAGAGTTTGCGTTATGCTGCCCGTCAAATTGAGCTAAGATGACCGCTGATACCTCGTAGCCCTCGGCTGTTGAGCTCACGCATTGAGAGTATCCGAACAAATTTACTGCATTCGTTTTCTTCTACACATTTTCCACAACCAAGATGCTACAAATACAAACCAGCAGTCCGGTGGGCCAACGATCCTCTGCATATCTATAAATTCCCAGCAGGAGCCATCGAAGCGTGGATTGAACTTCGAATGCACTCACTCAATTCTATGACCATAAGGCAGTTCCGATCTCCACTGGTTAAGCCTCAAGTTTTATTTCAAGGATCGGTGCTTGGAGGGAGCTTCATTATTCGTACCAGCCCCAGTATGGAGAAGGAACAGGCAAGGAGCCGTTACAACTTACCAGTAGAAATCTTGACCGAAGGTTGCAACCATTTAAGAAGCGGTTTTCAAATAAAACCTTTCCAAAAACCATTAAACTAGCCATTGGCTTTTCTACAGCATCTGGTGACGTGCTTACAGCATAAAACCTTGAAATCGCCCGGAAAACAACGTGTAATCAGGACTAGTCGTGGACCGTTTACGAGAACAATTAATCACTAACCAGACCAATCAACTATTTAGTTGGGTTTAAAACAAGAAGCTGATAATCAAAACATATATATTGAAAACCGCGCGGTTTCCATTATGCGGAGGAATTAGTGTTTACTAGCACAGTATAACAAATGCTTCCTAGGAAATTGGAAATGTCGTTCCATTTTTTTCGTGTTACAGTAATTTACTGTATCTAGCCCGTTGATTAGTTGGAATTTCTTGTTTGGCCAATCCTCTTAGCCAATTACCTCACGCTTCTGACGGGATGTTGCTGAGCTTTTGTGTATGAGCTACTGCTGGTAGTTGTAACACTTGTGGTTGGCGTACGTCGGAGCTTTTGAAGACCGTGACTCGATATGACATCTGCCGTTAAACTTACCGTTGAAGATATTAGCGAAACACGCCGGGCAACACCGTATGACCAACTGGAAACGTGGATCCAAAACCACATGCCGGACGGAGGTCTCAGTCAGGAGGAAATGAATCATATAAGGTCAGTAATGCAGAAAGACCAAGAGCTTAAACGGACCGATGCGGACCGAATATGGTAAGTTTCTACAAAGGAAGTCGACCATCAAGATAACAATTGATCTAGACAGTCAAACATGGTCACACGGTATGTATGTTACGGAAGTGCCTACTATCAAATCAGAGTACTAAGTCCGCTCAATAACTTTCATTTTATGATGGCAGCAACACCATAAAGCAACGGTCCATTCAGGGTCGATTCCGAAGCAAAGCATAGAAAAATCGAAACTTAAATTATAATTTTCTAACTCGTCCATGATTTAGATTTTATCGAGAAGAAACTACCCTTCTGTGTGGTGCAGAGCACAACATTCTCTAATACGTGATCCTCAATGAACCATTCAGGTAGTGGTGAAGTACGATTTATGGCGGTAGGCTTTCAAAGAGACATCAACAATGCGACGACAATAAACATCGTATCGCTTCTTCTTGGTCAGTGACTCCTTGTTTGGACACGCAGGCCATCCTGTACTCACACTGCAATAATGGACCAGACTTATTCGATTTATGAGTTCCTGCACCATACGGTTCATGTCCCTGAAATTGTCTAGAAGTGGTTTAACACGGCACAGAGCATTCGGCTGGTAAGCCCATTCAACGGTGCAATACTGTTGCGTCTTCCGGAACGGGCCTCTCACAGGCACTTCATACTCGATGTCATGCATCAAATAACGTTAAGTACTACAAACTGATTGCGGTGGAACCGTTATTCAGGTCAGAAAATACTAGTGAGAACATGGCCAACAAAATTTTAAATCATGCCCCTTGTAGACAAATTTCTCGCGAGCATTAAGATGAGGGGTTCAACAAAAATCTTCCACTTCATTGCTGGAAACGTGAAGTAACTCAATGATCATTCCGTCATTGCAGTAAGGAAGATGACGTAAAAGCGAACCACGTTTTATATACAGGATAATATCAGCATAGTTGGGCCGGCTGGCGGCTCCTAATGGGGCCAACGACATTGACGCTTCTAGGCTAGACCGAATTCACCGGCGAACAAAACAGTACGCCAAGCCAGCGCAAGTTGTTCGTGTTATCCCAAAGATGACCGGTTCAAACACGGTTGAGAGATGAGTATCAACCAAACTTAAAATGAAGGTATGCGAGTCCCATTTTTCGGCCAGTTCTGGCGTGCATCCAAACTGTGGAATTTAATGTTTAAAACTCAATACAATCACTAATCATAATGACATTCTTATATTAACTTTAATTAGTCAATTAATTTGAATTCATCGACTAAGCTAAATATTCAGTCTGCGCACGGAACTGTGGTCAAATGAACGTAATAATAATAAGAATATGAATGCAGCTTTAATGATTATCCCACGCTTTGTTGGTTAAGACTTTCTTTCTTCGTCACAATGAAGCAGGAGGACACCAGAACAGTCTATTTAAGTATAACGCCTTCAATTTTCCTATATTCAGGGGTGGATAATTGACATGTGAAGCAGACCACACCGGCGAGGCGACCACATGAGTTGCTACTAGTATTTTCAGCCGCCTGCGTTATCTAGGGATTAAGCAACAAATAGACTCCTACAAGCCCTCTTGGATTCTATGGTGTTATCTCCTTGGGAATGCATTATCAGCAAATCGGAAAACTTGATTTTTGATACGTTGATGAAAATCAAGCATGATTGACCATTGTACTAACTGTTATCTGGAAGAAACTTCATCGTCTATTCATACAAGCTTATTCACAAAATGCCAATTTTAACAACCCAGGTCATATCAAGGCCATCAACAACTACACTGGTCGGTAATATCGTGGGAATTTTAAGGTTACCTCTTTTTACTTTCCCTTCTCGTTCAAAGCACTGATTAATCTGGGAGACCTTCATCTCCTAAGCCATTATTCCTTACTTCAAGAGTCACAGTGTTTACGTGCAAATCCATATAAGGGTCGTTTCATGTGGAAAACGGCATACGTGCATTCACTCGACATTTGTTTGCTCAGCAATTCTAGTGAGTTTTGTGAAGGTTGTTCTAAATTAAATGTTCTCTCCCACCCGTTTCTTCCCTCTTGCTTACAACACTTCTGTCGGACAGGCATTCTCGGGTTTCCTCAAGTCTCATTGTATGCTATGAAAATTTCCACTCTAAATAATAATTGTTTCATCTAGTAGTGATGCTGCTAATCTGCTGCTTCGGAGGACCTGCCAGGCTACCATAGGGGCCGGTGTTTGCTGTGGACTGTTCATGTAAGAATAGTGTTGAATATGATATTCGGATGTGCAGCGCAGTTCAGTTAGTATCTGGCTGGATTTAGGGTTAGAAAATTGACCATGACAGTGTTGGCGAGACGTGCTACTAAATATGCAGTGGAACGTTTAAAAATGTGCGTCTTTGCTCCTTGTGAACTCGGTAGGTTTTAAGAAAGCCCCAAACTCTCAAACAAAACAAGGTGGGATATTGGCATTTGTGAATATAGGCTGAAGAATTCAGTTAGCATTGTACAATTTTAAGGGTCGTGGCAAACAGAGTGAATCATTACGGTCCCACGCGGTTATGCTTTCCCGTCACATTGTTTATGATTTTCCCGGAAAAGGAAACAGTTTAAAATTTTGCGCGCAACATGTTTTCCGGCAACATGTCGGTCCCAACCACATCAGAAAATAGGCCTGTTGTGGCTGCACACCGCTTTGTCGAAACAGAAGTTTCAACTATGGGTCTTTCTGATATGTGCGACCCCTTACCGAAAGGGTTCTTCAGCAGTGATCTCAACAATCTACACACAACAGAAAAGTGCAATTTGATCTCATTTAAAGTAGCCGAATAACTGACCTTTTTTCATCTGTACTCTGTATGGAATCAATAAAGGTGAGCGAATTTTACCGACTACAATGGCGAGCCAGAGGAAAACTAAAACATCCTGGGGTTATTGGTGTCCATTTTTCTTTTCCAGAGAAACCTGGTTGATAACTAGAGCTTCAAGCTAGCTTGAGTTTACTCAGCTTATTCAGCCTTGTCTCCTGGCCGGGAAAAATCAACCCTAATCTATTGGTTTGTTTCACGAGCTTTTTACAGCTCTGTTTTCACTGTCGTTTGTAATGGTACAAATCAAGGGCAAGTGAATTTGGGAGTTTCGGAGCCTTTCTGCCAGTGTTCCAGCGTTAACTGGGCGTAGTGAAAGATGTATGCTGTTTAGGTCCCATGTCGTGTTGGGAACATTTTCTCCTACGGTGAATACGAAAACCAAATATGAACCGCCAAAAACTCAAATCCAGTGTGATATTCTTTTCTCCTGAATGCATCCGCTCTGGTGTAAGCCGGCTACACACACGTCCACTTCTGAAACTAAGTAGGGGAAAATAGGCCGATCGACACAAAGTAAAAAAAAGTATTCAAGCTTTTCTGTCCTCACTTAAAACTGATAGTTTGCGGGATCTGAATGAACCAGTGTGTTTCAGTTTTCTGCGAGTGTGGACCGTTCGTAAATGGACTTTAAAGTGTGGAACATCGAACCGAAGTTCTTCGCCAGCAAGGTGTAGATTAAGTTGATGCGGACTGGTCGCTTCTTTGCACATGTGTTCCTTATTTCATGTCTTTAAGCTTCATGACTTCTTAAAAAAAACATTTTTTGCGAAACTTCAAACGGTTTCTCAAGCTGAAGAGAACGAGACACATGATTTCCTGCCTTCGCCACTAAGATGAACCAAGAGGTGATGATTCACTAAAGATGACGGTTTACACTTCATCTGTTTTCGTATGTTGCAGTTTGAGTTGGTAACGCTTACTCATGGTATATCTGACTAATGCTGTATATTCAGCCCGTATCAAAGACCATACATGGAAGGTTCTAGAAAACATTGATGTTTTTCAAGTATCCAACACAATGAGTCGGTACAATACTGACATAACGCAGAAGACCGTGTGATTTCCCTATAGATTGAAATGTTTGAATTGTTGGTATGATAAGCTTCATACTTCTTAAAAAAAACATTTTTTGCGAAACTTCAAACGGTTTCTCAAGCTGAAGAGAACGAGACACATGATTTCCTGCCTTCGCCACTAAGATGAACCAAGAGGTGATGATTCACTAAAGATGACGGTTTACACTTCATCTGTTTTCGTATGTTGCAGTTTGAGTTGGTAACGCTTACTCATGGTATATCTGACTAATGCTGTATATTCAGCCCGTATCAAAGACCATACATGGAAGGTTCTAGAAAACATTGATGTTTTTCAAGTATCCAACACAATGAGTCGGTACAATACTGACATAACGCAGAAGACCGTGTGATTTCCCTATAGATTGAAATGTTTGAATTGTTGGTATGACCTATTCAGTTGTTCTCAGGTGAAACCTTTCCTATGAGAGGTACATTTTGGAAGATATTGTGTTGAAATATGGAAATATGGAAATATGAGCGGTCCTTTTGTAATATCCTTTATAACAGTACAGTTGCAGTCCTGAGTAAACTCATACTGCTCTAATAATCATGTTATTGAGACCCGCATGCGATCCTCGTCGATCATGACACGTTATCGATAACAGCAACGCCCTCCAATTTGGAATTGTTATTTGAAGCCGCTCTATGTCTGTAGACCTTAAGCTGACAACCCTTGTTGCGATATGCCGACAATTATCTTGTCGTCTGGCGAATTTTGAAAAGTTGATGGCTTTTAGGGTATGGGGAATCTTCATAAGAGTGCCGGAGCCAGTCATTTCATGAGCTGTTGCTTACAAAACCATGCATTGTTTTTCATCGGAAAAAGGCTGTTTCAAATTGTCCGAATCGGGCTACAGTCTCTTGGCTGTCCCGGTTTCAGAGGAAGTAAAAGGTGATTTTTTTCGCTCGTACATTTGTCTAAATTTAAGTAATTGTCCGTAAACCGATGCGATTTTAAACAGTGATGGGAATACAGTAGGACCTTACATCTGCAATCAGCAACAGCCCTGTTAGTTGCAAGCGGCTTTGTTTCGAAATACTGACCAATCAATTGTCCTCGCGACATAACCTCTCACTATACTGCTTGACAGGAATGAGATTGTCCCTGCTCCGGCTGGTATTA